CAAATTCATCAATGGGGACATCTGGCAGCTAAGGAGGATTACTACAGGCTGTTACATCAGGCTGATGTGGTGGTTTCCACTGCAGACCATGAGTTTTATGGGGTCTCCATGTAAGGGTAGCTCTGCTTAGCTGCAGCTATGCTCAGTGTCTAGGTAGTTTTTTATCACTTTAAATACTAGTAGTATTTTCAAATAAGCCTGATGACACGTTTTTGTTCATTTTTCATTATCATGTTAACATAGCAAATAAATTTGTACTTGATTACATTTTGGCAGGTTGGAGGCAGTTTACTGTGGATGTTACCCTCTCTGTCCTAACAGACTGGTCTATCCTGAAATCTTCCCCAGTAAGTAGAGACATCTCTATTATATTTAATTAGTCAATGTAACGTTACATGTATGTGTTTTGTAGATATACTTTATAAGTGCCAGCAGATTTTTATGCTGTGCTCGTAACTATTAACATATATGTAGCAGAACATTTTCTTATGATTCTGTACTGTACAAATGTTGTCAGTGAGTGAACATAACTGTCCGTAGAGAGTAGCGTGACAAACCTCGCATTTCTTCTATTGCTTCAATCTGCGCCAGAGGAGTGCCTGTATAACACACCACAACAGCTGAAGAAAAGGTTGAGGGATTTCTGCAGAAGACCACAGCTAGCAAGGAACACTCAATAAGTGTGAGTGTTCATCAGTTTTGTAGATGGCATATCTGATACCATATTATTGTGATTCTAATTTGTTTATCTGCTGTAACTTTTGTATTAATTTGTTAAGCTGCTTGAAGTCCTGCCTTAGATCAAAGACAATCATTATCTGACTCCGGCTGGCTTAGAAATACTAGATAATTATTCCAATCTTTAATGTCATGCTATCATGATAATTATGTGTCTTCCTTCCTTCCTTTTGTTTGTACAGCTTGGGATACATCAGTACAGTTGGGAGGGCCTGGCAGAGGAGTATAAGAGACTCTTGCAGTAATGTTGAAAGAATCTGGAAGGCACATCAGAGATTCCTGCTGGTATTAAAAATTTTGACACTTTCATCTTTGTATCAAGAAATAATTTATTCACTCTCAATGAACACTACAAAAATCATCACACAGGTTTTCATCACACATTACCTAAGATCACAAAAATTTCACTCAGTTCAGCTTTAGCCTTGCTTCCATATAAACAAGAGCACTAGAAAATAGACCTTCCTAATACGTACATACAGTAAATGTTATATGAAATTGGTCAATGGACGGATGCATGTAATCAATGTATGTACAGTTTATCTTTAAAGTCCTATGCATAGATACTACTAGAAAATACTTCCAGCCAGATCGACCTCTCCTTTTTGTACATTTGTGTTTTACTGGCTGGAGGCAAGAAAAGGTCTGTGCAGAATGCCAGGCAAGATGTGCTTTGTATGAAATAGTCCTTAGATAATCATATTGTAAATCTTCTTGCAATTGGTCCAGATTGACATTTTTAGGTGTCTTTTTTTTGATGGATCACACAATTTTGCCATTTCATGGTACACTGATTGCATAGTTATACTCTTATTGCATAGTGATACAGCAACACTAAATCACCTTTACCTTTAAAAGTACTGGCACCTTTTTACATAAAGATAATAAAATACAATTTACACTAAAAACAACAAAACCAGTAAAGACAGCAAGCTTCAACATCAGACTTGTAACACTACAATTAGCAAAATTATACTAACAATTCCACTCAATCCTAGTATTAAAATGTCCAAAAATAACAATCTTTACAGACCCTTCAAGGGTCTTGCATCTATAAAACTCCATTTTCCACTTTGGCTATTATCTGTAAAATGTTCTTAGAAACCCAGTATAAAAAGTCTGCCATATTTTGCTGTCAAATCTGTTTAAAATCCCTGCTCTTGTTCACAAAGTCACCCAGCTTTGGGTTGGGTCGAGGTTATCAAAGATGTGTATCAGCAATGTTTATCCTTCTCATTTCGTAGTGTTCGTTAGAATCCCCGCTGTAGTCCAGGTCGTTAGTGAGCTGACTCTGGTTCCTGGACTGCGGTCTCTCCTCCTCCCCACTGGAGTCAAACGGTGCCCCCGTCTTCAGGGCAAAGATCAGATCATCAAACTCCTGTTCCTCCTCCTCCTGCTCATCTACCGGGGAGCGGGTGGGCGTGGTGATGTAGATGTTGCCCGGAGTAGCTGGGGAGTACTTCTTCAGGTTGGAGGGTGTCAGAGAGCCAACCCCGTCGTGGCCCCAGTCACTCGACTGAACACAGAAAATTTGTCTTAGTTTAGAGCAGTTACTGTAGTTGTGAGCAAGGAATTGTGGATGCATAGTTCCAATGTAAAAAACACAATATAAGAAGAATGATACATGTTACTGTGACATGTGGACGACAACAAATCTTGAGTAAGAAGCCAAATTTTGCTTACTTCTCCAATGTCATCCTGTCCCACCAGCTTCATGGTACTTCCAGCCAGGGAGCCATCATGGCTGTACACAACCTGAGGCATCAGGCCATTCTCAGCCGGGGTCTGTAGCTCATAGCTGGCTTTTACAGGCCAGCACAGCTGGTTCCTCAAGAGGACATAAACCACCAGCATATACACACCCTGTAAGAACAAGAAAGAATGGTCTATAATGTTTTCAACACCAAAATTAACAAAATAACAACAACAACTCTCAAGCTAAGATACAAGATCTAAATCTCCAGAAAACGATCAATATTACATATTGGGATCTATGCCAGGTATTGCCAGTTATATAATGTACATGTCTGACCTGTAGGACATTGAATATGCAGAAGATGACCAGGAGCCACAGGTATCCATAGGCCAGGTGTAGTCCTCCAAACACCCAGGTCAGAACCACAAACAGGTACATGAACAGGATCAGGGGCACCTCTGAGGAATGAAACGGATACAAGAAAGTCAGAAAGTTTTCATTTTTCCTTTCACTAGAATCTTTTCACCTCATAAAGATACAAAAGAACCTTGACCTTCATGATAAAGAGACTCACCATTAGCATTGTAGCGTCCCCTGTAGATGTCATCGTACATCTTCCACTGTTGAGTGACTTGATAGGCTTGGAAGCACACTCCAATAACAACCACCAGGCACAACAAGGCAGGACCCACCACTCCAGCCAGGGCAGCATATCCGTTAGGAATCAGACACCTACAGTGGAATACAAAAGGAAGGCAGTGTTATCAAATGCTAACCTTTGTCTTTCAAATTACAAAAAAAATTCAAGACTGTTCTAATCACATACTTATAAGAGGGCCTGCAAGCCCTTTTTCGTAAGGTGTAATCAGGCCGTTTTAGACTTCGTAATTAGTAGGCAGCCTCCGCAAAAATCAACGTAATTCGTAATAGGACATTAGCCGCAAATCGTAAAGTCGTAATCAGCTCTGAGACTTTAACGTAATTCGTAATAGGCGGCGAAAATTTTGCGTAATTCGTAATCACTACCCCCC